AACATTTCCTAATGGTGGTGTGCCTCGTGATTTTTTTTCATGAAAAAAGTGTGCCTTTGCACAAAAAAGGTTGAAAAACACTGTACTAGAGATGCATAATTAATCTCTACTGACTCTCTCTAGGGGTGGTATTGCAGAATATTCCTTTCATGACAATTCCATCTTTGGTGACTGAAAACAGTAGTAGAACTTACCAGGATATACCATTCTGATCACTCAATGATAGACTTATCAGTTTAATCCTGCAGAAGGAGAGATAATTCATCAGTGCAGACATTAAAAATCCACATTATTCAACCTTTCTGTTTTATTATTTTTATATATTGTCGTCCTATTTTTCTGATGGTTTTTTGCTGGTAATTTTATACAATAAAATTAAACAATGGGTAATCCTCATTGAGCAACTGCCTCATTTAGCAATTATTCAGTTACAAACTGATGAAAAAGTAATTTTGCGATCACTCACGTTTACATCTTTTGCAGATCTGTAAAGCTGAAGTAAGTTCATAAGCACAAATGCAGTTTCACTTAGCCCCCACTTTAACAACTAAGGTTCCAATCGCAATTGGGATTCACTAAACAAGGACTATCTTGTCCCTCTAGCCTAACTCAGTATCCATGAATATAAGGAAGGAATTTCCTTCTTAGAATACGAAGGATTTTGAACACCTGCCTTCCAGGTAGAGAGATAAATAATGCCCTTTTGCCCATCCTCTAGTGATTCCAATGGTATTTTCTTTTGCGGTTTCTTAATTTGATTTAAATTAGTTGCATGAAGTAAATTCCATATGCAAATTAAAGGATATCAAACATACAACTGGAACTTACTTTGTTTTCTTGTTGAAATAGCTCTTAATTCTCAATACTCGATTCAGTTATTTCTTCGGATATGGGGGATGTTACAGAGAAATAATAATTAAGCCTGAATTCTAAATGAAACTTGAATAAAATAACATGTGTCAGCAGCCTAGTATATTGAGATGCAAAATATAGTGGTCATTCTAATGAATGTTATGTTTCAGAAATTTATTTAAGTAGGATATTTAAAAAGTTAAACTTAGCATTTTATACTATTAAATTATGACTGATAACTTTTCATCACAGCAAAGAAACTTCTAAAAAACATTACTGTCCAAATCAAGACAACCAATATAAGCCATAAAATAAGACTGGTGGACCTTTTACAACAGAATGGATCTGGAAATATGGTCAATTAGTGATCGTCTCCTCCCTGCAACCAATTTTCAATTCAATTACATAAAGAAAAGGCTGGTGATGTACGTAGAATGGAAAGTCTACATTCAATTAATTCCACCTCTTGGACTCACACATAGGAAGATACTTTATAACAAGTAGATGCATTGATCAACTCAGTTTGGCAAACTGAGCAGAGATTACATCTAAGAAGGCATCTTCACATCATTAACAATAGCCAATTTTTACTGGAAAGAACTGGAATCTGGCACTCTTTCGCTTTATAAAGCTTATGTATGATGTACAGTCCTTCCCCAGTATGAGACCCGGTTCTTGTAGAGAGGTTCTGCTACTCCAACACCAATAAAGCAGATGTGAAAGACCTCTGGAGGAGAGAACGTCATTCAGAATAATGCAACGAAGTCTACAAGTGTTCCATGCATCGTAAAAAGCCCTTTGTTCTAAGGACAGAAGACAGTGGAATAGTACTCAGACATTTATTTCAGGTATGTAGTTTACACACTCCATTGAGCAAACAAAAAATAGCAAATATACAAATATCATAACAAGCATTACCAAATAATGTATCTGACACTAGTGTTATAAGCTGATTAAAGAAAATAATCAAGGAGGCCAGAGAAGATGGCTGTGGCCCATAACAACCTTCTTCTCATATATTTTCAGTAGCACCATAATGGCAATACTTACAAAAAAAATGCCTCATTCACACATACACACACAAAACCAAATTACTGAAGGCTTCTATGCCAAAATCCAAATTTCTCTTTCTCTCTCTCTCTCTCCCTCTTGTAGGAGGGGCAGAGAGCATACATCATTATGACTTGTGTGGCAAACATTTAACAGTGCAGGCGCTTAAGTGAGTTGGCTGCAACTCGTGTTCAGCTGAACCGTAAGCAGGATATGTGACACACCACTCCCTGCAAGCCAGCCATTTTTAGAGCCCATTTTCAGAGACGTGCAAGCTCTGCACTGTGCTTTTTTTTTTTTCCTGTGCATGTGATTTGCAAAATGATGTCAGAAAAGTTATCTGCTAAAAGCCTGAGTGAATCTTTGGTAGGCTAATACTTCAGTATTATGAATCCTATTAATCTACCACAGTTACTTGATTCGCTGCTGTTTTCCTCTAGATTCCAAGAAGGTGGCAACTGGCAACATTCTGGAAAACTTAACAGTGAAATCATCAGACCAGGCACTTATAAACCCAGTCTTTTCCAAAGGCACCAAGAATTAAACAGCATTAACTGAAGTCCCCTGGTGAAGGTGACTGTATCAGGTTCTCTACTATGATAACAAATTAATTGCTCTTACATTGTACAAAAACTTTATACACCTTTTTATCGTAAACCTTCTATTTTGCTGTCAATTGCAAATATAATTAAATTACCCCCACTTTCTGATAAGGAGACGTCACTTTGCTACCTATTGTATATCAAGTACCAATTTCTTTTTAATTTAAAGTTATGCTATATGTCATAACCTTGCTTAAAGAATGTGTTTCAACATCACTTAACATAATGATATTCTTCTTCTCCACATAAAATTATCAGAACTTATTTTTTGGTATGGTTACAGCAACTCATTTTGACCAGAGGTTGGTTTTTCTGCTGTACACCTGAAATCCATACTGAGGTTTTATATGAAGCCTACAAGTGGCCAATTTTCCCCATTCAAGTTCACCAAATACAGACTTTCAGCAAAGTTATGGCAAAAATACAAAACATCAATATAATGTTTTATTGTAATGCACTTGTTATAATCTTCATGTCACTTCACATAGTTCCACGCAAGCCTTAATAGAGACATATATCCAAAGATAAATTGCATTGGAGCCTTGCTTCTTAAAGTAGCCTGGCAAGGCTCTTTAGTGGTAAATACATTTCTGCAGCACATAACAGGTTTAAATCTCCGTCTGAAGTGAAGTGCTTAACTCCGTAACCTGGGGTGAATGGTTATTGTTTCTTTCTTTCAGTGTTTCACCAATATTCACACCTGCAGTATTGGAAGTCCCCTTGCAGGTGCATTCTTCAGCAATGTAACTCAGCTGGGGAACCTCTGAGTTCGGAGCAATTGGCGTAAACAGCAAACTGCTCCCCTGGTGAGGAGAGTTTTCTAAGCGGTCATTTTCGACCTCTGGCAGAATGCTCACAGTATTAAAGCGGGTGTGATAATCACTGGAACCATGGCTGCATGAGGTTTTCATACTCTCCAGATCAGAACAACTAAACTCAGAAAAATGACTTGAATGAGAATCAGCTACGGACGGGACACTATCACTGAGAGAGGGAGAGTCAAATTCACTGGAGTTGGTGCTTTGCTGCTCCAACAACTGAGCATCCATGTCCTCTCTGGTTTCATTTATCTTCGTGCTATTCTTTTTTCTGAGTTTACCTTTGCATTTTTTCCCTGCTGATGATTCTTTGGACCACTTGGGGACACTTGATTTGTTATCAGACAAACAAGCGGAAGAACTACCAGTGTTACTGCGGCCTGCAGCACAACCATCATCCACGCTGCTGCTCCCACTGTGGTGTCTGAATTTTGCCGGCTTCGATTCAATGTCTACTTGTACCTCCATGCTGCTGCCATCTCTAAGTAAGAAAAAGGATAACAGTTCCGTTTTACAGTAGAACATCTGCAAACTCATCACGGTTAAATTCGGTTATAAACAGCATTTTAAAACGCATATGCAACAATTAATTCAAAGTTTGAAAGATGATGTTCTATCTTGCTAAGAGGATGATTCATCAATATTACTTTTAATACTTCTTTTACAGAAACTATGTGGATTCTATATTATAGATCTGATCAGACCAAGACAAAACTAGGAGAGGTTTTGACTTTCAAATCATGCTTTGGCTTCAGAAGTTGACACAGTTGAAATCTGCATACAATATTATCTGAGATACCTAAACTTCTGCATGCTATTACAGTAGGCAAAATGCCTTCCTAGATATACACATGGCAGAAGCTCATCAATTAAATTAAATTAAAAAAACAAAATGTACTCTGGACTTGACATAGGTATTTATAATTTTTATCACAACAATATATCTGTGGTCACCAAGAGTCAACATCAACTTGATAGCACATAATCAATTAATAATCATACCAAAGATTTCTTGCATAGCATATAAATACTGATTTTACCAATATAGTTCAAACTTACCTGTCCAATGGAACATAGGAATTTATAATGGACCCAGCCATTGCTTTGGTGCTAGCATTGTCACTCACTGTTCCTAAGCTAACAGTGCCAGATTCACCACTCAAACTGCATCTCTCCTTCTGTACATCTGCTTGGACTTCCAACCTTAGTGAAAATTCAGTATTAGCTCAATAAGTAACTTGCATTTTTCAATGTGTACCATATTTAAATCTTTTAAATGTTTACCAGCCACCTAGTGAAGAATTCTCACAGCAAATTAAGTACAATATCCCTTAATAAATTACAGTAATAAATATTTTAAAAAATTAGATATAAGAAATAGCCAGAATTAAATTGTTTCCTTTCAAATAATATAAGCAGTTAATTTCTAGTGTGGTAAAATATCACAAGTTTTTCCCTTTACAACAATCTCATTTTCATGCAAGTGTGTTTTCCCTAAACCAGGGATCCCCAGGCCGCAGCCAGCTACCAGGCCTTGAGCCTTTCAGGACAGGACCAAAGGGGCGGGTAAGCGCACATGTGCAAGCAGCAAACAAGAACATGTTTGCGCGGTAGGTGCGTGTCCCTACTGCGCACATGGAACCATCCCCTGCCCACCTCTGCAAGTTCACAAAGCTGAAAAGTTTAGGGAACTCTGCCTTAAACCATAATCCAATACTAAATATAAAAGTCATATATGCTAGAATTCCTATCTCTCGATACATATCGCCCTCATTGGAATTGAAGTTCTTCTTTAATCCAACTAAATATAATCACTGTTTTCAGAATGTGTCCATAAGTATTCAAAAGATAGATATTAGAATTTAAACAATCAGCTTAAACATATTATTTCATTGCTTATTATAGTTTATATAACAAATAGTCAATTAGAGTTTAACACTTGGAATGCATTATCTTACCTGTTGAAGCAGTTGACCATTGCACTTCCTGACAGACTTCCTGTTATGCTAGCTCCAGCCAAGGCCATGGTGCTGGCTGTCTCACTCAGATTGTCTCGAATGGCCCCTATTCTGTCCATATGGCTGCCACTTGCACTTAAGCTTCCAGTCAATCCAACACTTTCTTCCCCTATACTAGGATTGTGACGTGCCTCTGCTACTGATGTAGTATCTAAAATGGAAAAGGGAATATATCTTTTACTAAAGTTTTGTATTATAGAAAGCTTTGCTTTTATGGAAGCTCCAGTAATAAAAACTGTAGGTTTTTTTTCCATTCTTCAAGAACTGATGAGGGGATGTTGGTCTTAGATTGATACAATTATGATAGTAAGAGAAAATGCTGTCATCTTTTGATCGCAGGCCTAGGCTAGTGTAATGAGGAAATTGTATAAAATAATTTCCTAAACAGAATCAGATTTCTCTTGAAAAAGAAGAAAGCCAACTACAACGTAATGATCCTTAATATTTTCTAATTCTATTGTTATTCCAGAATTGGTACTGGGAAATAATAAAGTTGTTCTCTAAAACCAGATAACAGTTTGGATCAATTCTACTTTCTGTCAGGTAAGTAACATTTCACTAGTTAACATTATTTTATCCCCCATTTTCAATCAAAAGTTACCAAATCAAAATCACAGCATGGCAAGGGACACTAATATTGAATCAATGGCATTAGAGCATTGAGAGAAGAAATAATATCTAAAAAATGATTTTATCTATTAACTTCCCTGATAAATTAATAAATTTAATTTAAGTTTAAGATATCATCAATAAAAAAATGTATTCTTTAAGGCTGCTACTAATTGATTTTTTTCTGGGAAGTGTGGGATTATGCAAATCACTATAGAACACAACACACACTGCAAATAAACATGTCTGGATATTGACTATATTTGACCAATAGTGAATATTACTTCATTCAAATAAATTCTGAACTGTGTATGTATATATGAAACAACTTGGCTATCTGTGGATTATAATAGACATTTGTAACTGGCTAATCCTAGGGTAGCATCTATCAAAAACAGAAATATGCAAAATATTTAAATTTAAAAGTCCTCATTTCAAGGTGTGCTCTTTTTTGCTCTTATAACTACAGAAGAATATTTCCTATGATATCAAAAAACTATTTTAAGATTGAAATATTTACAATTCAAAATGTTTCCTATATCTCTCCAAAAAGGCCTCTACACTTCTGCAAAATGCTTCTGTATCAGGTAGCCAGGCAAATATGATAACTAAATAAAGGTCTTCTTTCGTACCTGCTGCTGCATTTGTTCCACTCACAGTTATATCGTTTTCATCATCAAATTCTATTCTGACACCCTTCCCATTGCCAGCTGACACTCCACAACCTCCACTTCGACAGAGAGAAATGGGAACTACTCCATACACATAGGCCAGCATAATAGGAACTCCAATACCTATAGGGAAACAAAGTATAATACTGAGATTAGCACACCTGTCTTTTTTTTTTTTTGTAATCATTATATATTTCTTAAGTCTACCGTTTAGCAAAGATAGAACAATACAACAAAAAGGTAATTCTTATTACATATATATAATTTCCATCATGGCTACAAGAGACAGTCAACAAAATTCTACAAATTTATTCTGGTCTCAAGAATTCATCTTTACACTGAGGTCTTTTGGTTCTGTATTCATTTGAAGAGCAATAAGGTCTGCATGCACAACCTTTTATCATGGCTTTTGGGATTACATTAATGATACATATTTAGATTTAAACACTACAAAACTCTAGTTTTCCAAAGAAACCAGTTACCCCAAACCATCTGCTCTGGTGGCAGAAACAGATGGGCTCTTAGGTCTTAGACTGCTGTTGATAAAATCTATGCAAAAGATCATCTCATGTCCCCATGCTATGGAGACCATCAAATGCAGACTTAGTGTGTGCTAGTGAGACCTGGTTGGCCACAATTGGGAATGAGCTATGTGCTCTTCTGGGCCTCAGTCACAATGCTGAGGTTGGGGAAGATTCTATTTTATTTAAACTTATTGTGGCCGCCCAACTCCAGTGAACTCTAGGTGGAGGATTGTGACTGGTTATAAATAACGATGCATGAAACATAGTTGCAGAGATAACATAGGGCTGGTTAAGCATGCCATCTGGGACTGACGTTGGAGCTCCCAGGGCTTATGTGACTTAAAGATGAGAAACTTGGGCAGTTTGTCAATTCATAGCTTCTATGTCCTTGTCATGAATGCTTATAGTTCCAATATACATGGGAAAGTGGGGGGGAATGCTTGATTTGTTTTCACGTTAGAGCAAGTAAAATGGAGGACACTGAAAATATGTCCTTTACCTTGGCCAGATAACATCTTGGTCAATCATAACAAGGCAATGGGTTTATGAGAATGAAGTGGTTTGGTTTGGTTTATTGGATTTATATGCCACCCTTCTCCCAAGGACTCAGGGCGGCGTACAACATTAAAAAAACACATATTACAAAAGTTTAAAAAAAATTAAATAGAATATCCCAAACAAACCCAATTAGGATTAACAATAACATTTTTTTAAAAAATTGATTAAAATTAACAATGATCAATAATTTATTTTGTTTTGTTCAGGACAGGCTGGCTTGCTGGAAAAGCCAACATTTTAGGGCGCGTCAGAAGAACCGGAGGTCGGGGATTATACGAAGCTCCGGGGGTAGTTCA